TTGTCTAGACTATGATGACACTTTATCTCTAGTTGCAAAGATGGTGTACTCCCGTTTTTCTTATCTATGGTAGCTATGCACAATTGGATGTATAAAGTACTTCCTTACATGTTGATTTTGCCAAGGAAGTCTATATGGAGCAACCGTCCTGGTTTCTTTGTTGATCACAAGGATTCTTGTGACTTGATTTGTAGGCTTCATAAAGCTTTGTAAACCTCACGCGAAGTCCTAGAGCTTGGTTTAGTAGATTCAATTATGATCTTCAAGATTTTGGCATTGTTCTTAGCAAAACCGAGGCATTGTCCATTGTAAAACCGACACATATATAAAGATGTTTCTATACTAACTAGGGCAAAAATAAGTATTTTATAGGGAATATAACTTCTAACTTTGTTTAATTTTCTGTAACATATGCACCTTGAATGCATGTCGAGTTGTACACTTAGATGCCAAGCAATTGATCAATTACTTGAGGAATGGGCAACTGTGTTGATCGGAAAATTAAAATATTGCTTACAGTTTCTTGTAGCTGTGATTCTGATTTCTTTTCTTAGTGAAAGATTAAGAGTTGAAGATTGTTTCTTGGTTGGTTAAACTATATTATATTAGTTTCCCCAACATATATTATAATGTCCTTGCAAATTTATGCACACCAGTATTTTTCGCACAAATTAAACTTGCTCAATCTGTCACCGCTTTTTGAATGTCTTTTTAACAAACTTGCAGGTAGTGTGCCCTTTTGTGCTAGATCAGTTTTATTGGGCTGAAAGAATGCATTGGCTCGGTGTTTCACCTGAACCGCTCAGTAGAAACCATTTGCTTCCTGATAAAAATGACGACAGAAGTATCCAAGAAGCTGCACGTGTACTATCACTTGCGATACACGATGCATTATCATCAAGAGTGAAAATACGGGCTGCAGAAATTGCTGAAAAAATATTTCTCGAGGTAATAACCATTCTTAAACCACGCGATTATTTTATTTAGAGGTTAATGATTTATACTACCTTTTTATCACATACGCGACCCTTCAATTTGCAGAATGGTGTATCAGAGGCAATTAAGTACCTCAAGGAAGAGCTGAGTTTGAGTTGAGATATTCAAAGCAATGAAAATCGAAAAGTTCACTCCTACGTATTTCCTCGTAAGTCAAATTCATTGTAATGTGTATATTAAACGTCTGGGAAATTATTGTGCACACATTCGTTCCGTTTAAGAGTAGTTGTCATGTGGCATGTCTGTGTTGAAGTCTAATCAAAAGGAGATGAATGCTAGAGATAGTGTGAGAATTTTTCAACGGAATTTAGACATCAAGGGGGTGAGAATATGCACAAGAGTTAGGTTACATCTATTCACTTCCACATTCATTTTAGAACAAATTCTAATTAGTTATAAAATTCATCCAAAAATACCAATAAAAAACACCATTTGATTATTATACAAATTAAATTATCATCTTTAAATTGAGATAATATATTTGTATTTTATTGGAGATATAAATTTAGTTATTAATTGGTACTTTTGTAAATCAATTTTAAAAAACAGTTCTGAGGAAAAAAACGTTTGGTAATCTTACTTTTAAAAATTATTTTAAAGTAAATTTTTTATTAATAAAATGTGTAATAATTTTTCTTGTTTTTTCCTCTTTCAATAGGGAAGACAATTTTAAGATTCTAGATCTAGACAGTTCATCAGGTTTTTAAGATTGACAGAGTTCATATTGTTTAGGTTTTAGGCAAATTCTTTTTCTACCCTTATGGCGTGGCTTATACTTCTGAAAATCTAAAATTGTTCTAAGAAATATTCAGAGATACGTCTTCGAACGCACCTCCAACCTATTTTGTCAAAAATTGATTTAGAGATGCATCAATGAATATTTCAGAGATGTATCTTCGAAAATCCTTATTTTGGATATACATCTCTGAAACCTTCCCTGCATGCATCTTGGATAGAAACATTGTATAAGTTTGTATTTTTTTTTAATCTGAAGTCATTTTAATCTGATTAACAGGGCCATCATTTAATTCAAACATTAATAAAAACAAATATCATATAATATGCATTAGTTAAAAAAATATTTTAAAATATTACGAACACAGATCTCAAAGTATGAAAAATAATACAAATACATTCGAAAATATAAAAAAACATAACCTATTGCGTATGCATAATCATAACCCCATGGCTCCTCCTTTGTCGTCGATAACCCAAGACATTACGTGCCTTTTTAAGAATGGAACATGCTAGGGCAACTACATCATCGTCACCTTTTTTAAATAGCCCAGACTCTATGCCCTCATATGTAACTCGCATAATATCTTGACAGATCAACAACACATCAACCGACATGGTCATCCTTGGCCTGCTCATTCTCCAGGATCTCCTCATGAGCAGGTCTAGGTGGACGTTCATGATAAGGTGTGACACAATATAGAATCAAGTCATGTAATCGTCCACATAAGACTACTAACTTGTGGCTGACATACTCCGATACTCCTCTGGTATCAGATGACTCGCGTAATATGCCATGTCATTAAGATGTCTGCGGACAATGCTGTTAGGAGCAGTCTCGAAGGGGGATTTGAGAATGATCTACACAAATTCAAATTGACGCGTGCATCACTCCGGAAGACACCCACACATCATATTCTTCCCACACGCCAGCTATCAGGAGTAATATGAAATAGGGTCGAAGGCAACAATATTCCAGTGAGTGGCGTATGATGTCTAGTCGATGTCATCATGCCGAGTCTTGTAAATACACACATAACGACCACATAACATCATTCCCTATGCACGGACAATACATGCAAGCATGTGGCCAATCCTCAGTATACCCTAACACACGATCAAACCCGTGTATGCGGTGAAAGTGAGATATGATCCATCCCTGAAAATGAATAAGAAAAAAAATAATAACAAGTGTAAAAAAAGCGCTTTTTAAAATTAGTAATGGCTATGGGAATTACCGTCAGCAGGGTACAAAAGCTTGCCATTTTCTTTGTCGTACAAAGAGAACCTTCGCTTTGCTTAGAGTACAAGTATACCAAACAAACGGCTCCCCAGTTTCACTCGTGAATGGTCGACAAGTCGATGAAGTACTTAAGGTATGCCACATCAGCGTAGATTGCACTTTTCTCCACAAACACGGACACACCAACCAAGAATAGAAGGAAACACCTCAAAGCACACACCAGTGATAGATAACCTATAATTCATCAACGTCAGCATCACCCGCAAACTCCAAGTTTTGTTCATATAGCTGTTTAAAGTATAAAAATTTGGCATGAACACCTATGGTGTTCTCACACTACATCAAGGCATCCATTAGGCTAGCTCTAAAATAAATGGCCATTATCTTCTGGGCTTCATTGCGTTTGATCCTGAAACGATCAAGTAACTTTCCCCTAATGGGAAGGTGTAGAAGGCAAGTGATGTCATCTAGCGTAATCATCATCTCACCAATGGAGAAGTGGAAAAATGACGTTTCTTTATGCCATCTCTCAGCAAAAGTCCCTGCATGCTAAGACTAATGGTCTTGTACCTTGAATAACACATGCAAACAAGACTCGAGTATCCGATGACACCTTGAAACCAATCATCCTAAGGCTAATAAAGCTTGTAAATCTGTTTGATGTGGTTATCAGACTTCAAACAATCGCGCTCTTGTTTAAAAGAAAATAGAACAATATCAGTCGTAAGGAGTTTGTTTAAAACATAAAAATTACAACCATTAATAAATATACTCTCCGGACCAAACATGTCGAGCAACATAATCTCTGCAGTATATCAGTAAAGAGGTGTCAGAGGGCCACCATTAATAAATATACCTCTCTGGACCAAACATGTCGAGCAGCATGATCTCTGTAGTAATCAGTAAAGAGGTGTCAGAGGACCTTCCTGGATAAAGGTATGCAAGTGGAAGGACACCATCATGTGCAACTAGGGATGACAAAAGGGGTCGGGCCCGTCAGATTAGCCTGTTTGACCTGCCATTTTTTGCGGGTTGGGTTGAGGTTTTCGGCTTGGTACCTTAAGTTGACTCGCCCCGTCTAACCTGCTTAAAAAAGCAGGCCGAGGCAGTTTTACCCGCATGCTTTTTGCTAAATTTTTTTAATTTTTACTTAGAATTAAAACAACTTTAACTATAAAAACAACAATTTTCTCTTAGGATTATATTGATTGAATTGTATTATAGATTATTATATAGACAAATTGAGTTATAACTGTAACATTTTTCTATAACTTTCTAATACATGTGTTGATTAGAAAAGCTTGAAATAAAAGAGCAATTGTATGTCATGCAGAATTATTAAGTTGTCAATACATTAGCTCAGATGTTTTCTTTAGAAATAGATGTAGATTTTAAGGGGAAACAAATTTGATTAGCGTATACGTGTGACAAATTTAGGATTTAACTATTAAAGAATTGATCAATATAAGCGTCTATATGATGTAAACAATGAGAAAATCCAATGTTGATATTTTATGCACTACTATTTTATGAATTGTGATGTTTTATGCAGTGTAATTGTTATTATTGTTGATTGTGTAAATTCTAAATTGAGTTCTTTTAGTAGTTAGTTTTTAAATAGGATTAGGATGATATGTATTGTTTATTATTTATTTATTTTGATTTTTTTGCTTGAGTTTATTATGTTTTTTTTGTTGTTGTAATTGATCTTTATTTATTTTATTTTTTGAATTATTTGGACTTTCATGTTGAAGTTCTATTATGCGTTGCTAAAAAAATTATTTTGTCGACCTCTTTTGTAATAATTAATTTTTTTCGAAATTATGTAGTAAATCAAATTTGTAAAATAAAAATAAAAAATAAAAAATTAGCAGGTCGACCCGCTTACCTGCCAACTTGTTAGTAAACGAGGCGGACATGACTTTTGAGCTTAGACGCCTAAGTTGGTCCGTCCCGCCCCGTCCCATTTTTGGACAAGCTTAAACGAGACGGGTCTAAATGGGGCGAGCCACCTGCTTTGCCACCCCTATGTGCAGTAGAAGCTACGCTCCTGTTCTATGCGAGCAGAGGAGACGTGCCCTGAGATGAGGACCTTTGTGACAGACGACTCATAGAACTCAATTGCTTCCCCGTCATGAGGACTAGGGACGGTTCCCCGCCTAACTTTGGCCTGCTCATTTTGAAGTCTAGCCCTCCTGCGACGAACAAACACATGTTGGATTTCACGGCTGAGTCTCATTATGTCATTGTTGTTTGCAGCCATTTTCCTGAAGAAAAAAACAAGAAAAAGACACCAGTTAGCAATTCAGGTCATTTTCGGATATGTATTTTCGAAAACTAGAAAATACCCAATTTAGAGTTGCTTCTCTGAAAAATCTCGTGTTTGCATCAATGGCAGAAACATATACCATTCTTTCCATAACAACCTAAAATGAAACCAAATCATAATGCATGGTTGTAACAACTATTTATTTCAAATTCTAATACTACCTAATGCATCAAAAAAACTATTTTACCTAATACACTAATCAAAAGTAAAAAAAAAGTTAAATGAGATACTTATGTTGCTTGAAAAATTGACTGGAACAATGTTATTCACGAGCTCCAATAGGGGATGAAAAAACTTTAGAAAATGAAGAAGGAGGAGAGGGACGGTCTGACGCTCGTTATACATACATCGAACGCATTCAGAGATGCATCTCCGAAAACTTCTCTTAATTTAAAAACAAGGGTTAATTTAGAGATGCATATGCGAACGAACCCTAAAACACATACAAAGATGCATCTCCAAATTAAATTTTGGCAATATGAGGGTAGATCAATAATTTACGCTAATTTTGTGTGAAAATAATACGTCCGGAGATAAATTTATGAAAACTAATAACATTTTTGACTTTTTGTGAGGAGTTAAAGAGTTCTTATAAGAGTGGGAAAAGAAGTTGCCTAGGTTTTATTCATTCTCCAATATCTCAATTGTACTTTTTGTATACTAAAATAAGTTAAAAAACGACATGAATACAGTGCAAAAGGAGAATTTTTTTAGCAATAACCAAGTATTGAAAAAAAACACAAATAACCATGTTTCGGAGAAAATTACGCAAATAACCATGTTTTAGAAAACCTCACAATTGAGGTGCCAAGTGAAATGGCGCATGCACCTAAATTTAAGAAGGAGGCGCCAAGTGAGATGGCGCATAGGTGAAACATGTTTTCCCTAAGCCATCTCAGACGGCGCCTAGGTGCAATTGAAGTGCATTTTTTTGTTTTCTTACGAGACAATAAGTAAACGATATAGTTTCACGAAACTTTGACTTTTCATTAACAAAAAACGATTACATAATGAAAAAAAAACCATACATATTAATCAATGGTCCCCCGAAACTTGGCAACAACCCGTGGTTTCGCATCCGCGTCCTCGCCTATCTCATGGTGGGTTTCGTCGATTTTCCTGCTGCGGTTGGGTCAATGGCCCAACGAAGTTAATGCGTTCAGGATCCATGAAATCAGTCAGATCACCATATCTGGAAGATCCGTTTTGGTATAATCGGTTACCCATGTCCTCAAAGTTTGGTCATCTTGGTGGGGGTGGGGTTCCATGGATGGTCTATACCACTGGTCGTTTGAGTAAGGGGGTAAAAAGAAAATGAATATTGGGGTGTTTGGTATTGCGACTGTTGGGTGCTATGGTGATGTGGTGGTTGATGGTAAGTTAGGTCGGTTGGGTTATATTCTTCGGGAAATCCCAGATCAGGGCTAAGGTGAGATGATGAGGGGCCCACATTGGGATATGGAGAAGATTGGAATTGTGTGTGGGGCATGTGGGTGTATTGGTATTGCGATTGAGATTGGGATTGGGTGTGGGCCATATGGGGGTATTGGTATTGAGGTGGTGATTGTGGTTGGGTGTGGGGCATATGGGTGTATTCGTATTGAGGTGGTGATTGTGGTTGGGTGGTTGTGGATCTGTATCGTCGGGTGGTTGGTGGGAGGTTGATGTGTGTTGGGTTTGTTGTTGGGGACTTGAGGTTTGTGCCCATTGTGTTCGTGGGTCAACCAAATACCTCGAATGAGACACATGCGTTTCTGGGTTACTAACCGATCTGTACCAATCAAAATATTGATCTGTGTGTCGCATATTATTCTGGTTGAGAAAAACAGGGAACTGCAAGACATGTTGGTGATACCTATGCCACATCTTACACCATTCTAGAGCAAAGTATTTCCAATTAGTAAGACCCCATTGGGTGTTGACCCTTTTTAGATGCCAGTGAGACAAACAAGTTGAATCACAAGGTATCTCTTGATGCATTTCGAATTGCATCTTGAAATGGTCGTTGTGGTGCATCTCCACAATGTTGAACCGTATGATTGCAGTCTTTGTAGTCCAAATTGCTGCATCCTCGAGGTTTGGTTCATGGTCCAAACCCAAATATAGTCTCCAGATAAACTGTGGATAAAATTAAATCAGCATAATGAAAATGTAATAAATAAATAATTTAAAAGTAGAAAAGTTCAAAGGTACCACGTACATCATCCGGGCCAAGGTGATCCAATAGATTACGATATAGAGTGACATTGAATCTTGGATTCTTGCCGTAATCTATACCCGTCACGCAGTACCTAAAGAAATTGTAAAATAGTTTATTTTAAACATATATTTGGCGAAAGGATGAATAATAAATGATTTACGTTCTTGACTTACTTTGTTGCGTATGGGAAAATGAATGTGTTGTTGTTGACGGGGTTTAGGGACTCCATTCTCCACCAACCCTAGGCTTGGAGTAAGAAAGCGCATCCATAAAAAATACATTTGTCCTTTGTTGCATTTTTACACAAAGAACTGTATAGATGAGCTAACACAACAGAACCCCAACTAAAGTTCCTAAGCAAACTTAAATACATAAAATTTACATTATTCCCTGTACTTTCGGGAAATAATAAGCTTCCAAGTAGTATCATCATATAATTTCTAGCTTTTATTACTCTTGCTAGCTCAGATGAATTTTCATTCAACTCAAGAGTCGCATAATATTTTTAGAGTTCAATTAGTAATATACCTTGACCTCTAGCACCACTACCTTCTACCATATCTTTGCCCAACAATTCCTTGCATAGAGAATTGGGTTGTTGAATTGACCCATTAACCGCCTTACCATCGATAGGGAGACCCAATAACATGTACACGTCCTCTGGTGTGACGGTATATTCACCTATTGGTAGATGAAATGTGTGTGTCTCGGGTCTCCAGCTTTCCAACATTGCAAGTATAAACTTGGAATCAATCGTGCAGTTTGAGATTTTAAGAACATTTCCAAAACCCGCATATTCGAGATAGGGCACGATCAACGGGTCGGGAGCAATGTAGTTGTGTGAGCGAATTCTAAATCTTTTAGTATCCTAAATTCAAAATGTAAAAAGTGTAAGAGTCCATAAGATGACTAAATCAATAATAATTTTATAAAAAATATATTAATATACAAGAATATTTGAGAATTTATAAAAACTTACAAACGCCGCAATGTTGTCCCTTGTGCCTCTGAGAATCACCCATTGTGAGAAGAGCCATATTTGAAATTGTATAAGACAATGAAAGCGTTTGTATCAGAGAATGAGATAATTGTTGATGCAAAACAAGTATATCAGGCGTTGTATTTATATGCGAAATTGTATCAGAGTGAATGAATGAGGTGGTTGTTGGTTGCATGCATGCATGATACGTGCCACTCACGCGCCAAGTCAAATGGCGCCTACATGCAATTTAGAGAGCATGCGCCATTCAACTTGGTGTGGAACAGGCCTAGTTGTAGTATAGGTGGCAGCGTAGGTGGCAGGCTAGGGCAGGCTTTTCTGCATGCATGTAAGATGATTTGACATGTAGGGAGGCGTCATTTGACTTGGAGAATGAGTACAAAATTGAAAGGTGTTGCCATCTCAATTGGCTCCTCAATCTGTTCTCTGTTTGATCTCCGACAGACATGCATCTATTGAGAGAGCATGCAATAATCCTGCAAATGGTTGACACGACCCTTCTTTTACGCATGTCTACTGTATTAGGCATATCATACAAAATTTCACGAGGGAGATCAAAGATAAGGCTCTTAGGAAAACAATTATGAACGTGGGGTATGAATTAACACAACCTACGTTTAAACATTATTGCAACGAGATCAGATTGTCAAATCCAGACACAGGTAGGCAGATCGATAATATTCCGGTGGAGAAATGGATACAACAATGGACAACAATGGGGCCACATGACAACAAATCTTATCGAATCCATGAACGGTGTATTCAAAGGCATACGAAACCTCCCAGTAACCGCTTTGGTCAAATCAACATATTTTAGGATGACTTTATTGTTTTCTAAAAGAGGTGAAATATGGAATGCGGTCTTACAATTGGGACAACTATAGAGTGAAATCCGCATGAAGTATATTAAGACAGAAAGTGCCAAAGCCAACACCCATCTGGTTATAAGGTTCGACCGTCACAACCACAACTTCATTTTCAAAGAGACAATCGACCACAACAAGGGGATACCAAGACAAGAGTATAGGGTTAGATTACCATCTCGTTGGTGCGATTGTGGCAAGTTTCAAGCCTTTCGTATACCTTGCACTCATGTTATCGCGGCATATGCGTATACTCATCAAGACACATTACAACTTCTATCTCCCATTTACAAGTCTGAAACCTTGCTCGACGTATACAACAATGGCTTCCCATTGGTAGTGAAACCTGATTATTGGCCTGCATACGACAGAGAAATAGTATGACACAACGATCAAATGCGAAGGAGTAAAAAGGATCGTCCCAAAAGCAAGCGTATCACAACTGAAATGGAATCTCTTGACAAGCTAGAAAGAAAGTATGGTTTATGTCATCAGATCGGACACAATAGAAAAAATTGTCCCATTCGGGCTACAAGCTCGACAACATAAAAATTGTATGCAAATCATCTGCACTTTTTTAAGTTCTAAACATTACTGTTTTTCATTAAGAGCATTTGTTACAACAAACCATACGCAAACAACAAATAAAAATATGATAAAACGTCTAAGAAATTACCACCGTCAAAATAATTTCATCTGAGCCATGCATCATCACCCTTACGTCTCCGTCTGTTATGACTTCCTCCAACCAAAAATTAGGTCTTCCAGTTGCGAGTGAGGTGGCTATTCTTCTTCTCTGGATCCTTCTAATTTGTTCCCCAACCTCGATGTCTCCCTCTAGCCATCACATCAACTCTCTCTTCAGACGCTC